CCCACATAAAGACTACATTTCCCATTCTTTCTTGCATCTAGGTGTATATCTAAGCTCTGATCATTGGGATATAAAACCTAGTGTTGTAAGGCAGCTTCCAAGAAATCTCCTTTGTGGAAAGTTAGTTGGTTTTTTTGGTTTTCTTCTTTGTCCTTCCTCTATCCTTCACTTTGGAATGTAAATGCCATCATCTTACTTTATGATTGAGATCATGCTAGTAAAGTGACAAGGAGACAGCCCTGTACATTGACACTGTGAAGCACAGTATTGGCACTGTTCTGCCTTTTGGGACTTTTGGGTAAGGGACAATACAATGCTATCTTTTTTAATTTTTTATTGTTATTCAATTATAGTTGTCCCCATTCCCCTTCCCATTACTCTCCCTCTGCCCTACCCACCCTCACCTGCCACATTCAATCCTCCCCCCACCTGTTGTCTTTGTCCATGGGTCCTTTGTACATGTTCCTTGATGACCCTTCCCCTTCTCACCCCATTTTCCCTCTCCCCTCTCCCCTCTGGTTACTGTCAGTTTGTTCTTTATTTCATGTCTCTGGTTCTATTTTGCTTGCTTGTTTGCTTTGTTGATTAGGTTACACTTATAGGTGAGGTCACATGGTATTTGTCTTTTGCTGACTGGCTTATTTCACTTAGCATGATGCTCTCCAGTTCCGTTCATGCTGTCGAGAAGGGTAGGGTTTCCTTCTTTCTGCTGCATAGTATTTCATTGCGTAAATGCACCACAGTTTTTTGACCCACTCATTTCCTGACAATGGTATCTTATTTAAACCACTGCTATTTTGGGTACTGTCACTGGCAGCTAAATCTAATCCTAGCTAATTCAGAATCTGGCACTTAGCAGTGCGGTGCTTCCTGTAACAGAAGTCAAAATATGTGGTGTTGGCTTAGTGCAAGGTTGGGAAACTTTTGGTAAAGACTCAGATGGCAAATGTTTAGGCTTTTGGGACATCTATGGTCTTTGTCACAAATTCTTCCTTTTATTTTTTTTATAACTTTTAAAAATGTAAAATAATCTTAGCTCAGTCCTTCAAAAATATAACAGCCATCCTTCACTCAAGGGCCAACAGGACACGTGTGGCTGAATTTGGTGCTTAAGGGATAGTTTGCTAACCTCCATCAGGGGTCAACCGATGTCCCCTACCTGCCACCCCTCAGAGCACGTGTTCACTTCAGAGCCCACCTACCTTTCTGGAGTCATGTTTTCTCATTATTTTTGGTTTCTGAGTGTTTCTCTTGTTTTCTTTATTGATTACAAAAAAAGGGCAGTTAATTATCATTACATTTTCCTCTCAGATGGTACACCAGAGTGGACTTCTATAAAAGATGCAAATGTAAAGAAATCACCAAAAGGACATCACGATAATGGGTCATTAATATGTAGTGTTTATTCAAAAAAGAGTAAAATCATAGTTTTTCGGAAAGAAAAAATAAGTCAGTAACTCACGTTGTCAGTTTTTAAAACTTTATAATGGTACTTAAAAATTCAGTTAAAATCATTTTGCCATCCTGGAATTACACTGGTCATTACAATAGTGCATTATTTCCCATCTCATGTGATTTATGATTCCATGGTACCCATTATGTTTATATCTTCCAAACTAATTATTATTTTCCCAGTGAACGGATCTTGTAATTTTGTAGATAGCACGCAGAGCCCACCTACCTATAAAAAATTGTACTCAAAGTACAAAAATAAGTGCTTTATGCACATTCTTTAATACTGTTTTTGTCCCTTTCTTTTTGTAGCTCAGCTAACTTTACATAAATAAAGACAATAATAACAAAGAGGAAAACAAACAATAAATTAACATCTAGAAACTAGAAAGGCATTTTGCTGACCATTTGCTTTTCATTAAAAGTTAAGGGATAAGACTATCTGGCTATCTTGCAGTCAAAAAAGCAGAAAAGAATTCATAAAGGAACAACAATAAAAATACTAATAATTACAATAAATATTTAAACCAGTCATAATGATGGACTGATTTAAATAGACTTATCTGCAGCCTGTGAGCCCAAAGATCTCTTAAGAATTATAGTAGCAAATGTCAAGTTTCAATATAAAATTAACATTTGAAAAAAGTGTGTATACTTCACTGCAAATCATTTATTGCCAAACATATAGATATAGATAAAGCTTGTGAAGTGGATTTTTGAATTTTCTAAACACAAGTATATTTAGAAACCAGAAATAGTTAATGACCAAAATGTTTTCAAGTAAATAAAAAGCATGGGCACCTGCTCATCCACATAATATCAGTATGTGAAAATGACAAATCCAGGTTTCAAAGCTCCTCTGGATCTTTAAATTTTTTCTTCTTTTTGTTTTTGCATAATCTTTTATATTTCTTTCTCATGTGAAGGTTTTCACAGGCAAGGCTTTCTGGTTTGGGGTATAGGAGGCTTGGCTCAAGGAAGAAGGGCATCAGCAAGTGCTTTATGAACTTACTGATGCCCCATAGATCTTAAGAGGGCAAGGCCATTTCCCGGAGAGCTGTCTTTCTTCTTGTCTCCTGCCTAACCTGGCTTAGTGGCTGCTAGCTCTGTCACTGAAGGCAGAACTCAGGACCCTCAGCCCAGGGGCAGTGGGAGGGGAAGTTGTACCAGCAAAAGGCAGGATCAAGGTGCAGCTAGACGGGGGAGTGGATGAGGGTAACCATGGGGGCGAAGATGACGTTTCTTTCCGTTCATTATGCTCCTGCTCTGGCCTGAAAGAAGTAGCTGGGCCCTTTAGTTGAAGCTCTATCTGCTCTGGGGAGAATAAAGCCAATTCTGCTATAACAAATTAAAAAAAAAAAGAAGGGTCATAAAGAAGGGGTCACTGTATGATTTCTTGTCTAAATTGGGACATATTTGATAGTAAGGGGAGCTATTGTAATTATTTTTAAAATAGGACAACAGAAGTGAGCCAGCACTGTCCTGGCGCGCCAGCCAGCTGTATTGGCACACCAGAGCGATGTCGCTAAACCCTGGGGGTGGGGGTGTTGACATTCTTCAGCTTCGAAGAAGTTCCTGTGAGCACCTTACTTTCTTTTAAGTGCTACTTCTTGGTATCTCCCCTCCCCTTAAACAAAATAATATATGTGAAGTGCAAAAGAGAAAAGTTTGCCAGGAAGAGGTAGGTGCAGAGCATTCTATATTTTATTCCAGGCACTTTTGAATGAATGAGGGCTCTCGTTTCCAAATTACTTTTCACTTCTAGATTGATTAGAAATAGCTAAAGTATAAGGGTTTCTTCTATCTTTCCTGCAAAACTGAGTACTGGGAATGTATGAAGTTTCCCTCATAAATGAGTCTCTCATAAATGAGTCTATGCTGTCCTTATTTAACCTATGTATTCCATATAAATATTGTATGGAAAAGCTAGCTTTTAAAATGTGGGACATTTCTATGAGCAATGTCCAAGAATTTGCTGCCTATGTTTTCTTCTAGGATTTTTATGGTTTGGGGGCCTAAGACTTGTCTTTAATCCATTTTGAATTTATTCTCATGTGTGCTGTAAGAAGGTGGTTTATTTTCATATTTCTGCATATATCTGTCCAATTTTCCCAACACCATTTATTGAATAAACTATCTTTAGCCCATTGTATGTGCTTGCTTCCTCTGTCAAATATTAATTGACTGTAAAGGCAGCTAAGGTGGAGGGGGTAAGGTTAGGGGGTGGAGGGATTAAGCAAAAAGGAAAAAGGACTCATGGACATGAACAACAGGGTGGCGGTCACAGAGGAGGAGTATAAGGGACTAAATGGCAATGGAAAATATGCAATAAAAAAAGCGGGACATTTTGGGAGCAGTAGAATATTTTTTGAGTAATACATATAATAATATTTTTTATTGAATAATACATATAAAAATGTTTTACTCTATAAGTAAACAGATGGGCTATAGGTTCAGAAAAATATCCTATTCCTAATAGTTATATTCATTATAGTAGGACTTGCTGTTCTTTGTTCTAACATTGATAAATGCAAAGTTATAACCTGGTGGGTGCATTATATTTTCTATGGACATGTTCTCATAATACTCAGAGCATTTTCAAGATGTCACTAGCGTAAAGTAAAATTTCAATATGAAATTGGACCATCAGTATAATAAAGCCCAATAGTTAACTGTTGCATGTCAAATAGCAATGCTTGTGGTCTAAAATTTCTCTATGTCTTCTAATAAGTATGTTAAAATTCCTAAATTATGATCTTAATGTTTTCTTTTTTTATTGTTGTTCAGTTACAGTTGTCCCCCTGTTGTAATATTTTCTTTTAAAAGTATTTACCACAAAGTTCACTTATGGTATCATATTTGAAACTTAGGTTTGTCTTTAATAAATGTATCTACAAAATATAAAAATTACCAAGTCTCTGGGTTTCGTTGCAGGTACGTTTTCACCTATGGGGAACTTTTACAAGAGTCCAAGGAGGGGATACATGACCATGACCTTATGTGAATACTGGGATATATTTTCACTTTTAGTTGTAAGTTACTGCTGGAAAATCTTGGATGGGACTGGAGTTGCACAACAGTAATAAACTTTTCCCAGCTTTGTAGCTTTGAATGTAAATGCAGTTCAAAATACTAGCTTTCTTTATTGACCCTTATGCTGCAAAAGGCACCCTGAAGAATGTTCCTGTCCCCATGGATTTAAATTGTGACCCAGTGGTCCAAGACAGAAGAATAAAACAGTCATTTGAAAATAAAATTGAAATGTACATAAATTGAAAATTATATTGAAACAATATTTATAAAAAGCTAATCTACATAATTGAAAGAATATATTTTTTTTAAAAAAATTGAAGTCAAATTAACACTAATTTCCTGCACAGCAATGATCAATACATAACTATAATTAATCTCCATCCATTATTAGAAAATTAAGGAACCATGATTTGGAAGTAAGCCCTCTTTTGTTAAATATTTTTGAATTCCATGTTTTCTTATCATGAGGTAGCTTTCTAGCAGCATTGTCGTGCTGCTAGAAGTAGTTTGGTGCTGTCGCCCAAACAGTGTGGTTTGGCATGATGCCAGGTTTGGGGAGGGGTGGGAGGGCAAACCTAGTCATCCAGGAGAATTACATTTTGTTGCAGTTAAAGGTGGTCTTCAAGTTATACTAATGGGGTGGTGGGTAAGTACAACAATTCGGGAAGAGGCAGCATTTTTACAGGTAGGAAAATAGATATCTGCTCTCACTGCTGTTGTTCCATTTCCTCCTAAGTAGCATCGGCTGATTTTAATCCTCGGTAAGCTGTTAAGTACCAAAATTTAGAAATCCAATGCTAATTTACTAGCTGTTTTTAAGTTATTAGTTAAATATTTTGTTATTATTGCTTGGTTGGCTGACTCATTTTAACTTTTTTCTGTGATGAATTTTTTCTAGGAAGCAAGAATGTAAGAAATAACTAAACAAAATATATAGCACACATACATTTGGCATGATACACAAGCTATGATAGGTACTAAATAAGTACAAATTTCTGAAGTCCAAAAATATATAGTCATCATGCAAAGTAAAATATGGTTCTACAGTTGATTTTCAAAATCCCATTTTTTTAAAGTTTCAAACTCATAGGAGGACTTGTTCTACATTGGTTACCTAGGGCAGCGTAATGCAAACACATGACATGTGAGACACTTTGACACTTTCTATTAATATGCTCTAATAGAATTTGAAATATGCTCTAAATTTTACTAGAGTGAAGTAACATTTCAACAAAAAGTAAAACCACATCTACTCACTTGAATAAAATCAGTCCTCAGGATGCAAATGTAATAAATACTTGTGTTCCTCCTGAAGCAAGTAATGAGATGGTGTTCCAATGGCCATTTTCTTGATACTTTTGTATTATTGTATGCTTAAGTTTTTACTCTCAATATTTTCAAGAAGTGATTATGATTTAATCTGGAATAATGATTTTTAGAATGAAGAGATTCGTATATTTACTAATTGTTCATTTCAATTAAATTGAATCTTCACTGGGGTGTAACCTTCCATTTTGCACTTGTTAGACATACAGACTGCCTTTTCCATTTACTTTTAAAGATTTTAAAGAGCATTAAAACTTATGCTCTTGGAATTTGGAATTTTTTTTAGGGACTGAGTAGGAATTCATGGGCCCCCTAATATAATTATTCTTGCTGAGTAAAAGCTGGTCTGTGGGGAAGTATAAATTTGGACCTATGAATTGCTTAAGGAGGAATTTTTCACTTTCTTATTTTTAGAATTAGTTTGGCTCAAGAGTTAGTTTGTAGCCAATATGGTTTATATTCAACTTCACACCTTGATAAGATGAGTATGTGTAAGAATTTGATTTGGCTATTTGTTTTAACTTAGACAATTTTTTTTTCATTCTATTTTAAAGAAGTCAAATAGAAAGAAAAAAAATTAAGGGCCAGAGTGAAAATATGAAGAATATAGCATTTCCCAACCTTAGCTGCACATTGAAATCACCTAAGGGTCTTTAAAAAATATGCCCCCAATACTGACCCCAAGACACCCCAATGTAATTGGTATGAGGCGTGACCTTGGGAGTGCCAGCTCTCCAGGTGTTTCTAATGTGCGGGCAAGTTTGGGAAACACTGTCCTCAGGAATCTGGGAAGGAAAATGTGGAGCTAAACACACAAGGCCTGTCAGAGTTTCAACTCTAGCATTGAGGCCTTTCACATCTGATTGGAGCTCATAGAACTGAAAGGTGACAAGGACTTTTGTGATTGGAATTTGTCTGCTTTTGATTGGAATCTGGCTTGATTTTGGTTCATGGAATTACATTGAAGAGTTGACAGTTTTTTAATGCCTTTCTATTTAAGTTGTCCCTTGAGTCCAGTAGAATTTTACAAGGACCAAGGGGTTTTTTAAAATGGAAATTGTAGCACTGTTATGTCGTAAACCACTAATGAGACTTGAGAAGTAGTAATAGATATTTGGCTGTTGCAATTCGATTATTTCTGTTTTGAACAAAAAGCTGTCATGTACAAGTATGGTGAGCAGTGTCCTCTACTCCCCTCCACTCCAGTTTTTGTAGCACCCTTACCCCTATCGGATGTTCCTGGAGGAGAGGACCCCAGCTCCGGGGGCTTTGCTAAATGCCACCCTTGCTGAGTGTCTGAAGGATCAGCTTCTAATCAGCAGCAATGGTGGAAGGATTTCCTGTGATGTCTCTAAGACCAAAGCACTCAGGTATGGCAAAGCTGTCTGATCCTTATTGGAAGTAAAACAAAAAGAGGGTAGAGGGTTTCTTGGCAGATTTTATATAAGCAGGTTAAACAGTCCAAGTCTGAACCAAGTTAATATGACTTTCTCTGAATGCTGGATGGTGGTCTGGGCATGGCAAAAAGATCGAAGAAGTGAGAGTAAATCTTCACTTCTCTCTTTGTTTGAAATAGCATGTCAGCCAATTTGCCGAATAGCCAAAAGTATCATAGGTGATAGTCTATAGATGTCATTTACTTTTTTAAAGATATTAGAGAAGAGCAAAATGAGACTGAAATAAAAATAAATGTATATGGATATGTCAAATGCTTAAAATGGAAAACATCATTTCAAGTCGGAATGGTCGTGTTGTGGGGATCCTTGGGGAGGGCAGGACATCTGGGAAAAAAGAGGTGGGCTAGTGAGTTTAATAAACAATAGGCCTAGATTGCTTTAATCATGTCTGCAAGACACCACATCAATTTCCAGGAAGTCCCCTGGGACTGCAGGGAACAGGAAGATCCTGACCTATGACAAAATAGCTGGATGGAATTTTTAGACTACAGTAATGCTGACTTCATCAAACCTCAGACAATCTCTCCCAAGCTCTAGCCTGTGAACATGCCCCACGTAGTGGGTAATGGGGAACATGTTTTGAAAAGCACCCTTTCACCTTCCTCTGCCTTTTGTGCTTTGGGTATCACAAAGCAGGCTGCAAGCAGAGTTAACATTCTCGAGTTGACTCTCTTTGTTGTTACTGACTGCCCTTGAACTCCTGCAGGCTAAAAGGTCTTCCTCCGCTCTGTCAGGGCGTGCAAACATACTCCAGAGACACTCAGGAACCTTGGAAGAACAACTTTTGGGGGCAGTGGCTCTTTTCTGTTAGAGAAAAGGCTCCTTAACATTTGATTGCACTAGGAGTACTGTTCTCCTATCACGATTCTACAGTTAGTATAAGCCACACAGTCTCAGGAAAGGCATCACGTGAGGAAAAGTATAACGTGTGGTCATTAGGGGACTGAGTTAGAGGTTTATTTTTTCTACATAGAGTTTTGTGTCTTATTTTTAAAATTAAAAAAAAGAGATATCTTCAGAAGGCTCCATATCCATCCCCTCGGGCAGTCACTGCGAAAGTAGGGTAGACCTCGTAGGCTGTGTACGCCGCTAAGTCTTGTCCGAGGGTCACGGCTTGCTTGAGCTGGGCTGCGGACACAGGTGCGGCAGCGTTAGGGACAGCATATCCTGGAGGGGAGGCAGAGAAAACTTCATGAAAGGGATTCCAACTCGCTTCCTTTTGACTTCTTGTCTTCTTTTTGGAACAGGTACCTATTCTCATCTGTCCATTTTCAAGGGGGCTCTCAGGGTACTCATTCATTAGGGGGCCGAGCTCCTGCCTGGGAGGCTGAGCACCTCACTCTTAGAGAATTAGAAACACTGGGAAAAGATTCCAAGACATAGAAACTGAACAGGGTGCTGAGTTGATTCACGCATGGGGTTCAGAGCTTTTTCAGAGGTTCTCAGAACTCCTACAAGAGGCAGGGGCGGGGGATGGGGCGCGGGGCTCTGCGGGTCTGCTTTTGCTGCATCCCCGCCCCCGCCTGAATGAAATGTTAAAAGGCATTGCCTTTACCCAAGAAGTACGTGTAGGGACTGGGCAGACCAGTAGAAGAAATATTTAAAGTTTTAGCATGTTTTTACAGTAAAGCACCATGAAAGCAAACACCTAGGCTGACCACGTTTAGACCTAACCTTGAAGGGCAAATAACATCCATCATTGGTGTGTTTGGATGCTAGTCCTCAACCTCAGGGCACCAAGGGATGTGACTGATAAGGAATCATCATGTGCTCTTACCTTAGTATTATGTTTAGTTGATTAATATTCCCTTTTGAAGAAGAGAGCATATCAGACCTTATCTAAAAGCAATATTACCTGGTCATTTTAGACTGAAACCTGGGTACTGCTGAGGTGTTCCAAGCATTGTGAAAGATGACAACAAAAAGGGAAAAGTATACTTGAGCAATGAACAGGAATCTGATTAAAACACACACACACACACACACAAACCCATTTGGTTTACGTGCTGTGGAAGTCTGCCCAACCCCAGACACATTGATTTCTTTCTGGTGGCTTCTCAGGAGGTGGTGGCAGGAAGCTGGCTGGACTGTTTTTTAAAAAATTGAATCCACTCCTTGGCTCATGCACTTGGGGAAGTTAATGCTGAGTAATGCACTAGTGGAGTTTGGTACACTTCCCAAGGATATGAGAAATGTGTTAACAATTACTTTCACGATTTTGGAAACAGTATATCTAAAGTAAGTACATGAGTAAGTAATGTGTGCGTAGCATAGATCTTATCTTTAGGGATTTTGAATTTTCTTTTACAATTTGGCTAATTTCTTAGGTGCAAGAGCATTTGTGTTTCAAAAATATTCTTCCTTGAAGCTTATTATTCTTTGCTTGATTCCACAGTCAAATTATGAGAGGTTCTTAAATTCTTAGGCATTCCCAAGACAACTGTCATGCCCTATTTTTTTTTACTTTTTGTAGGAGCAAATAGAAGTGAGGGCAAGATACAACATTCTTGGGAAAAAGCAAATCCTTTCCAATGTGAAAGCAAACTTTAAAATTCTCCTGACAGTGGGTCATTTATTTTTATAGTGCATTCGTTAGGGGTCTTCGGGGTACAGCTTTCTGCAAGACAGGGGTCTAACTTTCGGCAAGAACTGAGAAGTCCTGAGACGTGTCCTCAGTGGACAGACAAGTCAACACCCTATTTTATGGGATGCAAATACAGGGCCCCAGGACAGCCCAGGGGAGCCCTTCTCCTCTGCCTGGCAGCTGTTGCCTTGGTAACCCCTCAGGGGCACTGCACACATCTTCTCTTTCTTCAGAACAAAGCTGGAATTGAGGTCACATTTACATGTGAAGCATTAGTTTCATCCTCACCTGCCAGAGTGGAGGATACATTCACAAATTTTGAGAAATAAAGAAAATGAGAGTGAACCATAGTTCTCACCTTAATATAATCATTATATGAATTAATCAATCAATTGGGATGTCACATTTCTAGGTCGAGTCAGAACTCTCTGATCTGAGCTTATGGGGATATATGAACGCAATGAGTCAGAATGACAAATTTCTTTAGAAGAAATAAACTTTTATTACTAAAAAAGGAATGGAGTTACTCAAATTAAATAGTGAGGAAAATTTCCAAGAGGTCCTCTCTAGAGAATTCATTTCTTTTTAGAATTATCGGCATTTGTTACAGGTACATAATAAGTAGGGAAAAGATTTTTAAATGTGACCCTGAAAACTTGTTGATTTAGAGCTAGACATTATTTTAAGCAATCAGCACATGCCCCACACCAAAATTATAGAACAGATAAAATGAAGCCTGATACTGCACATACTGAATCTCTCTTTCTCTCTCTCTCTCTCACACACACACACACACACACACACACACACACACACAGCTTTCGCCTTAAAATAATTTAAGAAAAGTGTGCTCTACACATCTCTTTAAAAAAAATCAAAGCAATAAAAGTAAACTTGAAGATTGGATTTGGGGAGGGAGTGCAAGGATTTCTTAAAAGCTGATTGGCCATGGCTAAATGACTTAATCTTTCCAGTACATGTCTTCTTCATCTGTACAATGGCCATTATGACAGAACCTATCCCTTGTGGCATCATGAGCATTACTGAGATAACATAAAGCATGCTGGGGATTTAGGTGAGTGCCTGGCACATAGTAAGAGCTCAAATATACATTGTCTATTAATAGGTAGTTTCAAACTCTCTTACTGAAAGTAAAAACCAAACCAAACCAAAACAAATCAATTGCAGGGACACTGACTCATTCAATATCACATAGGTGTTGAAGCTGAGCTGAGACCAGACCCCACTTCTGCTGCCCAGTTCTATTCTCTTGCCTCATACTTTAATGATTCACTCATCTGGCAAATTCTTTTTGGCCACAGATGGCATAGGTGGAGCTTACAAACAACTCCACGAGTCCATGGTACTGAGAAGGGTTTCCTGAACACTCTCTGCGGGGTGCCATTTCTGGCCCAACATTTTCTTTTCTTTTCTTTCTTTTTTTTTTTTTTAGGAATTTTGTATTTTTTTCATTTGAAGGTAAATCTTAATGGTATTAAAGTAACATATATGCTCATTTAAATACCCAATTCTATTTATCTAAAACACACAATGCAAACATATATCTATTCTCTTTACATGTCAGAATCCAAATCCATTCATTTCATGGTTTGGAAATGAGGAGAATAGATTCCCCTTAAACTGCAAGTCAGCAAGTGTTTCTTTACAGTTAACTTTAGAAAAATTCATACAAAATAGTGATTATTAACAATGATCTTCTTTACTTGTTAACTCACAAGGAAACACCAAAACTGCATTTTGTTAAAGTTTCTGCACTAAAATGTAGAAAAACAACTACACAAACATTGAAAAGTTAAAAATTCCTTAAATTTTCATTCCCGGTACCACTACCACAGTTTACAGGGCAATAGAGCTGATGTAATGAAAAGAAAAAGAAACTGAAAAAGCGACAACAGATAAAAGCCCTCAGGAATGTACATGTAATGGACACTGCATTGCATGAATCAAGAGCTGCCCTCTTTGCACACTGTGGCTATGGCAGCCTGAGCAGGAAGGGTTTCCTGTTGAAGCTGCAGGAGCCTTCCTGACTATGGATCATCGTTCCTTCTGTGGCAGATTTTTACAGTTCCTCTCATGCCCTTGGGACAACCTGTCTCAAAGTAACTCCTCGCTCTCTCTCCTGCTAAGACCTGTAGCCCTTTTCTGCAGAGTTTTTAGAAGCTTCTGCTACCATTTCTGCCGCTTCCACCACCAGGTCCGTTACCACCACCACAGGGGCTGCCCGAGCTTCTTCCACCGAAACTGCTCCCCTTCATGGGTCCATAATTTGATCGCTGTTGTCCACTATAATTTCCAAAATCATCATCGTCCCCTCCACCACCATAGTTACCACTGACATTTCTCCCTTCATTGTAACCATCCTATCTCTACCACCGCCACTATGCCCACCGCCGTGGTCTCCATATCCCGGTCCTCCACCGCCACCGTAGCCTCCTCCACTGCTATAACCAGGGCCACTGCCACAGTTGCCACCATCACTTCCAAATCCATCATACCCACCATCCCCTCCTCATAACTACCTCTGCTCTCACCACCGCCAGAGCCTCCCCTTCCACCGAAGCTTCCACCATGGCCAAAGTTACCTCCACCACCTCCAAAGTGTCCTCCATGACCCATTTAGTTGCCAGAGCCACTTCCATGACCTCTCTGCAACCCAGCAGATTTCATTTCTTTTTTAGCAGTGTCCTTTTTCACTTTACAGTTGTGCCCATTAATAGTGTGGTACTCCCGAACAACAATTTTGTCAACTCTATCATGATTATCAAAAGTTACAAAAGCAAATCCTCTTTTTTCCCCACTCTGTCTATCTTCCATGACTTCTATTGCTTCAACTGTGCCATACTTTTCAATGTAGTCTCTCAAATTATATTCTTCTGTATCTTCTTTCATACCATCAACAAAAGTTTCCTTCACTGTTAGATGGGCACCAGGCTTTACAGAATCCTCTCTAGAAACAGCTGTCTTTGGTTTCACTCCACGCCCGTCAACCCTGTGTGGTCAAGTGCACGCTGCTGCATCCATCTCTTCTACATATGGGTAAGTCACACAACCAAAGCCCTGGGAACATTTTGTTTGGGGGCCTCTCATCAGCACGCAATCCATGAGCATGCTCTCTTTCTCAGAATGTTCTCTTAAACTATCATTTGTAGTTTCAAAGCTCGAACCACCAATAAAGTTTTTCAACTGCTCTGGTTCCTTGGGATCATGGCCCCCTTCCCCCTGGGGGTGACAGCCAGAGGCAGGCTGGGGGGTGACCTGGTGGCGGTTTTGCCTCCATTTTGAGACCGGACTTGCTTCCTCCAACCTGGCCCGGTATTTTCATACCTGGAAAAGCAGTAGCAGAAGCAGCAGTAGCCACCGCAGTCGGAGCAACAGCTCCATCAGTAGGAATGCCCAGGGTCTGCAGGGTGTACTCGGCTGCGTATGTCTTTGCTTCATCCACATAGGCACTTAGCTTCGGAGGTGTGAAGGGGTGGCTGGAAAGCAGTCAGGGTAGGCATTTTGAACTTGTGCTACTAAGATGGGTAAAAATCTAAGGTGTTATTAGCTTTTGAAGATGATAGGATAATAGAATTTTGTGTGCCTATTTTTATTCTCTTTGCTATTCAAATCTTCTAAATACATATGCACGTAGAACTATCTGTGAATTGACCTAGAACATTGGTGCTGATGTCATTCCTGGAGGATACTTGCAACTCCTTATGTGGATTTTCTAAGGTACATGTGAAACACTATGGTTCCCAGATCAAAGTAGGAATTTAGACTCAAGGTAAAATTCAGAAGGTAATATGCATTAAGAGAGAGGTTGTATCTCTGGTCCAAAATTTAAATGATAGGGCATGATGTTATTTTGTATAAAATGGCTATTTTATATGGTTCAACAGAAATCCTAACAGATGAATGAACGGGCTATAATTTTCATTTCTATTAAATGTTAACCTGCAGTTTCCCATTGGCTGATTATACTATGAGGTCTTCATTGTGTATACAAAATTCAGGGGCTTTGAGATTCAGTCTCAGAGCTGGCACATCCATCCCCACTCTACGTCTCAATGTTTGCGTGTAATGAAAAATAAGTGGGTGGTAGACTTGAATATTTCTCTTATGTAGACAGTGATAAAATACACTTAATTTATAAGAGTCTCTTACTCTAAAATGTACATGATTAAGAATTTGGAGAAGTTACCCACATTGCAGGGTTCTGACTGGCCAGCGCAGGAATGGTTATTTTGTATAAGAATAGTTGTCTTTGATCTTGTCCAATGGCAGAGTGCAGTTGATATACTGGCTGTCCCCAGTTATTTTTCTGACAGATTTCTTCTAATATCTACAAGAGTAAAAGAAATGATTTCCCTTTCAAATGTCACATTTGCATTATTTGCCCAGCTTTCAGGTTTTTAAACTCTGTCCTTTAGAGTTTCAGCTAATATAAGAAGATATAAAATGCCAGATGGTTTAATGACCCTTAAAATTTAAGATGAGCTCCATTTGAACTCCATTTAAAATGTTAAGTTTATTAATTTATAAAAACCATCTTCATATCATTTATTTTAATATGCTTATAGTTTAGTCCATTAGCTGTAACTTTTACCAAGAGTTTAATTTTGTGATTTAAAAAAACTGATATTCCAGCACTGTGTGGCTGGATTTACTCATAATTATCCTCAATCCTTCTGTTTATAATGGTTTAGAGAAAATAACCCAAGAATACAGTATGTTCTTATTTCATGTTACCTATCATAGCTTTAACTTCACATTTTCATAAAAAATAGTTTTAAAGTTTAATGAGTTAAGTATTTATTTTTTTAAAGATTTTATTTATTTATTTTTAGAGAGAGGGGAAGAGAAGGAGGAAGAGGAGAGAAACATCAATGTGTGCTTGCCTCTTGCACGCTTCCCCTACTGGGGACCTGACAGAGTATTGAACCAGTGACTCTTTGGTTTGTAAGCTGGGGCTCAATATACTGAGCCACACCAGCCAAGGCAAGTTAGTCTTTATTGATGAGCATTAATAGATGTTGATAGTTGCAAATGCTTTTGGCAAAACTCTTCTGGTTATTTTTACAACAATCTGATTTATAGCATCTTTCTGCATGTTTTTTTCCCCTATCATTACTCCAAACTGAATCATGTCTAAAGGCACAAATTTTCTTTATGTGCCATAAAGCCATTTTTGGTGGCCCATAAGCTAATGCTCCCATTTGTCAGCAGATTCAGTAAAGTGTGCAAAATAGGGCATACATCTGACAAAGAGAAAAATCTCTTTGGGACAGAACAATGTCCCAGGATGACTCTAGGGAGCTTATCTCATTTAATCTAACACCAACACAGCTACAATAGCATAACATTTTCCAGTTGATTAAATTTATAGATTGCTTGTGTCATCTTTATTACATTTTTCTCTTAATATTTTCAGTTTTGTGGCAACTCTTGTCATCTACAAAATATTCTCTAAAGTTCCTGGGCAATAGTAAATTGCTTTAACTGGCAGATATTCTGCTTACGCCCTTTGGGTAAATAAATGCATGCTAACTGAAAGCATCTGTAACTACTGACACTGCAGGACAGTACCTGACCTTCTGCTTTTCTTGTTGGAATTTTGCAACTCCACTATGGAGCTGTTAAGGCTCCATCCATGTTGGTTGGTGGGGGTGATGTGATCTTCAGTTTCTAAGCCATAGTTGAAGAAATTCAAGGACAAATTAATTAAAGAGTTTTCATTGGTTGATAAGGATGATTATTCATATCTTAAAAAGTTTGACCAACTTTTAACCTGGGTTTTATATCAAAAGCAGAGGTCATTACTCATGCTATAACAGCTCTTAGAACTGTTATACAGAATGTATGATGATGATCATTTCTTATTTTCTTAGAAGATTTCTAGTTTTTCCAGTATTTTTGTTAGGTTCCTTATTTTTGGTTTTAAGCCAAGGGAGATTGGATGACTAGCTTTGTGCTTTCTGAGCCAAGCTCTGAGTCCAAACTCATGGCACTTGCTAGATTTTATTATAATTACCTATGTACTTGTCAGTATCCTCTCACCGAATTGCATATATTTTTTTCCCAGTTTTATTGAGATATAATTGACATACATACTGTAGGAGTTTCAGTTGTACAGCATAATGGTTTGGCTTATATGTATTATAAAAGGATTACCATAAGTTTAGTTAGAATCCATCATCTCATTAAGATACAGTAACAAGAAAAAGAAGAAAAAAGAAAAAATATATTTTCCTTGTGGTAACTCTTAGAATTTACTCTCTCAACAACTTGCATATATATCATACAGTGGTATTAATTATAGTCATCATTTTGTACATTACATATCCCTAGTACTTGTTTGTCATATAATGAAAAGTTTGTATCTTTTGACCACTTTCCTCCAATTCCTCCATCCCCACCATCCATCTACCTCTGGTAACCACAAATTTGCTCTTTTTTTTTTGGGTTTGGATATTTTATTTTTTATGATTCCATGTATAAATGAGATCATACAGTATTTTCTTCCTCTGTCTCACTTAGCATACTCAAGGTCTACCCATGTTGCAAATGGCAGGATTTCTTTATTTTTAAAGCCTGTTAACCATTTATATATGTCCTTTGGAAAAATGTCTGTTCAGGTCTTTTGCCATTTTTTAATTGGATTATTTTTTGTGCCATATAATTTTTAATCGCAATGATTGTATTATATTCAATTTTCTGTCCCCACAACCTAGTAAAATACTTGGCACATAAAGGATACCTAATAAATGGTTTTGAACAAACAAATGATTGTTGTTTACCATTTTGATAGGCATTTTTTTTTGAATTGTCTGGATAGAGTTAACAGAAACCTTAGATGTACTAATTGTGTGTGTAAGAAAGCTAGTAATTCTACACACAAAACATTCAAAATGAGCTTTTAGAAAATGAAGTTTTTATTTGATTGCCATCATGGGCTACTTCCATAAATTTTGGGTTTATGCCTTTGGGGTAAGAGTAGGAAAACTTCCTTTAGAACTTACAAACTGTAACTCTTTACAACTGGATTGGTTATTTAGCATAAGTGTCTCTGCAGATAGATCAGCAGGTACTGCACAGGAAAGAGTCTAAGGGTTAACACGGAACGAGTTTTGTGTTATTTTTAACCATGTTTGTTTTTCAGTTCTCATACTAAAACAACTTTTATCACTTTTAATTTTCCCACGAAGAAAAAACACAGCCTCATGCAGGAACCTGGAAAATTGGAACCGTGAAATGAAAGCAATAAAAACTCACCATAATGCTGCTGCGCAAATGTAATCACAGTAGAAAACTTAATTTGATATGACTGATGGAACCTTATAGTTAATATGAGTAATAATGTCATCATAGATAGCATGATATTTTCTCTTAAACACGTTTCCAAGAAAAGGTGTTCTAAATGGTCTATTCATTCACTGTCACAAGTATCCTTCACTTGCTAACTTACCTGGCTCACACACAACTGGCATTTATTTTGAACTAAGGTCTTTGCTTCATATTATCTTATTTAAGGTATTGGTTGATAATTCTCAATAGCTCTCAGGACCTTTGCATTTCAGTGTAAGATTATTTAAGGTACCATACTTTATAGTTAAAAAAAAAAAAAGACAGTCTATAATGGAACAATGGCCCTCAGCACTCAGCATTCTCTGACAGCACATTACGGTGATTGGTCACTTTATCTATGTAAAAGAAAAAACAAGACAAAACAAAACAACACCATAACCAAAGTAGGGATCAAGTCAAATCTTTTGATTAAAGGTGAACAGTGAACTTTGGCTCAACTTAAAGAAACTATCTCTGGAAAAACATCACCTACCTGGGGAGCAAGTTTAATTCCTTGGGGTTTTAAGGTAACAGGATTCATGGGGGTGAGTTCCATCCCAGGTAAAAGATCATAGAGTTTGTCTTCTTTCTTGTCTCCTTTGACCTGATATCCACGACCCAGGCCTGTGTATGCCAAATAGCCACGGCCGCCCAGTCCTCTCACTCCCGCAGCCCCTACAGGTACATTCATGTAAATTTCTAGGAATGTAAGAAGGCATTAAACTGAATCAAACCACCAGAAAATCACCCTGAATCTTACTGTAATGGAAAAGTTAGCCCAAGTCACATTGATTATTGCCCTGAAGATGGGTAGAAAACTCTAGGACTCTATGTAATGAAACTCAACATAGAGTTCAGAGATGTCTTTTTTTTTTTTTAAACTATCTGTGGAAGAAAGTAATACTATCAAAGTTATTGATAAGTACATGAGCAACTTAAAATCTTTGGAACAGAGAAAAATTTTGCAGTTTCTGTCTTCAGTTAACCTTTTGTTGACATTTTTCTGTAGAATAATACATGCTGGGAAGGTGTTTTTTAGAAACATCCCAACATGAAATGACCAAATGCATTGAAATCAGTCTTGCGTTTTATCATTGATCAGTAAATCAGAAATGAATTCTAGCTTTTGCAATAATTTCATTCCCAAGGATCTGTTGGAAAGCCAACACTTAGGAAGTATTTTAAATTCACCATTTTCTACCTTATGTTCTGTCAATGTGAGGCTTAAATTTCCATTGAGTTTCATTAATAGATTCCTTTTGATTTTTTTGTTTTTCACATTGCTACTTTGATTTCCTATTGGTGGCATAAAGATAAAAATGTTAAACGATTACCCTTCATCCATGAATATCATTCACTGATTTTTTTTCTTGTTATCAGACAGGTATTTTTTTCCCCCTTGGAGCAGAGTTTGTTTTTATCTTACATTACAACTGGTTGACAACTTATATTTAATATATAAATTGTTTAATGATGTGATTTTGATTATAAATGCATAATGTTTTAATGACATAATTTATCGTCATATAGACCAATTATCCTGAAGGAAATCCTAATGACTTCTCTTGCATTACAATTTTGGGGGAAGTGATTGTACTAGGAATAGGGAACTTTAAGGCTGTTGAAGACTAGAGCTCCTTGGATGGTCAATTCAGCTCTCCTGAAAAATAGTAAAACACAGTAAAATAAATGTTTCCACAGTAATCTGGACATGCCTGTTTGTTTCTAAGTTAAACCCAAGAATAGATTTAAATACATAGTTTGTTGTTGAATTGCCTAGTTGGGTGTCATATTTAGATGATAGGACTGGGATTCTGTTGACATTAGCCACATTCTAGCACAACTACACTGAAGGATCTCATTAGGCAGAGATCAACTAATTTCTTAGAAATAAAAAAGATTGCTTTCCATTATTTTCAATATTGCTGGAGCTGACTCAACTCAGAAAGCTGCTTGAACATTTGGAATTTTTATAAGATTCAAAAGGAAAAGTTTATGGTTTAGCAGTCAGATTGAGTTTTTGTTTTTTTCTCTTCTATTCATGCTTTACTCTATAGGTACCCACATTATAGAGAAATAAGTTGATTTCCTGAATAGTGTAACCATTTAGAAGGCATAACACACATTTCCTGCACACGTAGATGAGGGCATCTTACATATGTTAGAATATATTTAATGTAATTTGTGATTTCCATATGAAGATGATGCCACTGAGTAACTATCAAATAAACAAGTGCCTTGACATGTTTTTGCTATTAGAGGTAATTGGTTTCTACTGGGCCATACTGCTCTCACCTGGAAGTTTTGTAACAAGCTACACATGACTGCAATGTGGTGCCTCAATCATAAGAGAGACGTGAACAGTTGTGGGCCTGAGGTTTAGTTTGTGCAAATTTTGTGGGTCCATGCAAAGATCAAATGTGTGCAAAGACTCATTTGTACTACATGGTGACCAAGTCTTCTCAATAACCAGTTGTAATGTGAAAAAAAGATTCCTATGGAAGGAAAACTATTGATATAATATTTGATTTTTAACAAACAATTTTGAGACTTTTTCTCCCAGTGGACCCATCCAATTTGTCTAAGACTTTTGCAATACAAATCATTTGAAATCATGGAGTTATTCTAAGGCAAGAGATGATTAGTATTACCTCTTACAGAAGGGGCTCGGATAATGGCCCTGTTGCCAAGATGTCCTTTGGTGGCTGGGAAATGAAGGCTAGGAATTGTATAGGCCTGGGGAGCATAGAAGATAGGAGCTCCAAGGTAGGCTGTGGTAGGATCATAAACATGGCCCAAAGAGTAGGTGTACTCTCCTTGCAGCATGGTGCCCCTTCCACCTGTGCCTCGGGTGTACCTAACATAACTGTCCTTGTCCACTGGTTTGGCTAGGGTCACTTCAATGGGGGAACCATCCAGCACCTGCGGTAGAGAGCAAGAAAAAAGCAACACAAGAAGATATGAAGACAAACAGGTCTCGCTGAGCCCCTGTAATACGTCTCCTTCTGTGTTAGCCTATTGGCTTCTGAGTGTACTGACTGTTTCAGTTATATGTATCTTGTCTCTTTATAGGTTGGTGCTGGCATGTAAGTTAAATTTTCTTTAAATAGTTTTGTTGATAAGTTGCATACAAACTGCTCACAGGTTTTTACAGTGAAAAATTTACTGCTGTCCATTAACATATTGGTTATAATTATCTGAATACAATCACTGAGACAGAGAATTATGTAATACTTTTAATGTGATATATGTTTTGAATGACATATTTACATAATTATATAATTCTAAGACATTTTGGGTTATATGGGTGGAACATAATCTCCACTACCTAGAAGAGTACAATGAAGGTGAAAGGAAACCAATAAAGAGATCTTATCATTCATTAACATTTGGTATAAGCAGCCCAGTTAGGCCTTTGGGCTGCCAGCCAGTTAAATATCCCACCCCTGAGAATAGTTACTCAATAAAGTAAGTTTTCACTGGGAAGGAGGAGAAGCTTAAAAGTGGGTCCCGACTCAAGGCAGAAGAATCTACTGCGAGGCTATTACATTGACTCTCATTTTTACTTCACCAAACCATTTGATCTGCTGAACAGTTGGGAATTAACAAATGGAGATGGTGGGACAGTACTGAGGTTTCTCAAGTCAGGCCCTCCTTAACACTTGTCCTCAAGAATTGCAAACAGCTCCAGATAATAGCTAAAGATGAGAGTTAAAAAGAATAGCTGTGTGTAGATCTACATGGCTGACTCACGTCTATGAACCACTGACATACACAAGAGAAAAGGATGGCTCTCAGCAAATACTTGATAGATTAATGTATTTCTTATCAAAGAGACAAGGTGTTGTGAGAAAGCTCTTGTGGCTTTTTTCTAATAAGACTATGATGGGCTACTATTTTATATAAAGAAAAGAAATGATATATAAAGTGTTTCTGCAAAAATTCCCTCTTATAGTAGCTGAGTGTGCAACCTTATTATCTGATGTCATAAGCAATTCAGTGGTTCCTGGATCATTGAAGTCTGCTGGATAAAGCTTGTGTTCTGTAGTGATTCTGAGCATTTTGTTCAGCCTCTGGGGCAACTTAGCCTTGGTTCTATATATCTGCCCTACTTGTTAGTCACAGGAACCAACATCAAATATGTTACATGAAACACATTGAGAGAGAGAATCCAACTGATATTCAACTATGTTATATTACCATTGATGTAATTAGAAGAAATGGAGTATTGAAGGAATGAGGTAAATGTGGATATATGATTCTTTATATCATCAGTCCTTTCCTGAAGAAGATGAGAAACCAAAATAGGTCTCTGCCTTTAGGCACTTTCATATCAAGAGATGTTTGTAATAAAATAATTGCATACTGCAAAGTCAGATTTCTCACTGTAATAGATTTTATTTTGCATTCCTCTGCCACCCCAACAGTGTTTTAAACTCAGCATTGTATTTTAGTTAGTTTGTTTAGACATTTCAAGAGCTAAGCCGATATCTCATTAATCTGTATAGTCCACCCCCAGAAAAATTTCTCGCACATTCTAGACATCCACAAATATTTATAGAGTAAATGGAGAATTACATCCAAAGCTCAATTTGTCACTTTTCTCTCCACATAGGCTTTCTTTCCTGGTTTCCCTGAAAGTATTACCCTGGTTTCTCATATTGAAAACCTATAATGACTCATACTTCTTTCTCATCCCTATATCCAATTAGTTCCTGGGTCCTTTGAATTCGTCCCCCAACCCCACCCCACAGTCCTTTGTAGAACTTTCTTCCACATTCCATTCCCACACTAGTTCAAGCCCTATTTCTTCCCATTTGGGTGACCGTAGTAACTTTTTAACTAGTTCCAATTACATCCCTCTTACTACTTTGTAAAATTTCAACCCTCAGTCAGTTCATTTCCCTAAACTGTAAATATGATCATTATTCTACTGCACAAAAACTTCAGTCTCACATTGTTTAACAAATTAAATATAAATATCCATATGCATACTCAAAAGCCTTCACAGTTCTGAGGCAAATTTACTTTTGCTTTTCCCATAACACATTCATGTGAAAAATATTTATAATATTTAGTTTATAACTAATAATATTGAATATATATTTAACTGCATAATATATGTATCCATTGTTATAAAAATATCTAGCTATAAAAAAAGTATATAGCTTTAAAAATTGGGAAAATTTGAATAGTTTTTCACTGTAATTATTCCAATGTTTTCTGTTATTTATAATTAATCATAAATTAACAGTTAATTTAATAATCGTATAATAAATGATTGTGAATTAGCATTTAATTTAGATTATCCCTTTTCAGCAATCATTATGAATACCTAAAAATGTTTGCAAATTGAATAAGTCTAATCTGCATGTTGTTTTCAAAGTGATAACATTTTTCTGGTATTATTAAATGTAATAATGATGATAAAACAATATTTTGCTTCATAGACATGTATTAAATATGCATTAATTTTTGCTTTGCAGTTTTATTTTTGTATTCTGAAGTTAGCAATTTCCCCTCAGGACTCAAACATTTCTGTAGGTGCTGGAGAAGTGTTTACACCCAGGCCCCGCTGTAGCTGAAGGGCCTGTTCTGGGAGAACCTGTGCTTGCCCTCCAGATCTGCTCGCCCCTGGTCTCCAGCCTCTCTGCCCTGGGCTGGGTGCTCTATATGGAGTCCTCTTCAGGGCTCCTGCACCTTCTGGATTATGATTGGATTTGGCCCATGGGGAGTCCTGGCAGGAGAGAGAATGGTGAGTTTGGGCTATTTCTTCTTCTGGCTCCCACTCTGAGAGGTTATCTTAGCCTGGATGTGTTTCTTGACCAAAGATCACTAGTTCTCTCAAAGAGCCTGTTCTATACAATCCTCTCTCCTTTAGGTTTTCTGTTACTTCCCTAGTCCCTTGTCCCTTCGACTCTGAGGATGCCATGAGCCCCTGGGTTGGACAAACAAGCGACACGTCCATCGTTACTTCTCATCACTTTTTTTTTGTTCATCTTAAATGGACTGAGGCCCCCATGTCAGTGATGGAGAAAGCCAGAATGAGGTAGGCTTGCAGGATTGTTCTTTTGAACAAGATTCCCACACCAAACTTTGGTGGAACCTGTAAATATATTTTCATTGTCCTACATTACCTTCCCATTTAAAGCTTTCATAGCCTCAATTGCATCTTCTCGGTTACTGAAGTGCACAAAAGCATAGTCTCGGATTTTCTTTACCCTCTCCACAGCACCTGGAAATAGAGTGAGAGCACTATTATTAAAATGTGGTTAAAGTGTCTTGCTGCTTGCTCAATTTTAAAAATAAATTTTGCCTAGAGTGAAGTTAAGATGGAAACTTGCTTCACATGAATCTGTTAGCGGTTTAGCATGCCCATTATCCTCTGTAGGTTGACTCACTTGAGGTATCTTGACAGAGCAGGTTTTCTTTTCCTATGCTTAGTTGCTTGAGACAATATAGGATGGGACCCTTTGTGAAAGAGAATTGGAAGAAAAGATAGGTTCTCCTTTCTTCCTCCCCTGTCGAAGTTCAGTTATCCTCTTAAATCCAAGGCCGCAGAGCAATTAGAGTTTCTACTCTACCACATTGTTCAGTAGTTATAAACTGTCTTCCTTTGGCATAATGATAGTGCTGTGAGAGTGTAGTGTAAGGATAATTTTAAAACATTGCAGTCCTCTTCTATCCCCCCTTGGCATTCAACCCTTGACTTCTACGGCAATGTTTGTATGGAGCATAATGGTCTCACCAAGCTGAGAAAATAAATAATATCAGAGACCATGGGACATGTAATTAACTGAATTCCAATACGGTCTCTTTATTCCTTCAGTGTCAGGTGGGCTAATTCTTGTGACTCTACCCATGGCTTGTTTTGGTAATTGAGAAGTAAGAGGTGGGCCATGAGGACTTTTACCCTTCTTGTCTTTGCTGCCTTTATTCTTTGGTGCCATGTCTGTCTAGGCTCTCCTGGACTGTTAGCACCCTGAGAACGGGATCTGCTCCAGAGGCACCTTGGTCTAGTCTTCACCCGGTTCCTAACTAGTGCCCTGTGCACAGGGGCTGCTCAGTAAATGGGCATGGAATGGGCAAATATTATAAGTCAATTCACACCACAGCTTCTATCATCCACATTAGTTCGGTGGCATTTCAGATGATAATGATTTACATATTCTAAAATTCATTTTGAAGATGTTGAAATTACCTTGCATTTTTGACAATGTCCACCCACAACTGGTTTTGGAAATTTTGATAAATGAAAATTTTGCTTCATAAAACAGGCAAATGAGGCAAAAGGATTGAGGGAGGGATGGGGGAGGGGGCAAGAGAAAGTGGTGGGGGGAAGGCAGAAACAAATGTGTTTGAAAAAATAAATTAATTAAAAAAATTAAAAAAAAAACAAAACAGGCAAATGAGAAAGTGAGAGTTTGTATCATAAGAGCTGTTTTTCTCTATGATAGTATTTACCATGTGGCTTCATTTAATGTGTTCCTTCTTTAGTGTATAGAAATTTTTTGATTGATAATGATTAGGCAGAAAGGGAGGCAATAAAATATCCGTGGTAATCCATCAGCAATAGTGAAAAAGAATCTCTGAAATCATAACTTGAAAAATATTACATTGTTCATTATCAGCTTTCCAGCAGATATGTTACCTGAAGGGAAACACACCTGCAGTCCAAAGGCAAGATTATCAGAGGACCTTGGTTCTCGAAGGGTGGTTCTCAGACCAGCAGTTAAGAGCTTCAGCCTTGGACTTCATGGAAATGCAAATATTGGGCTTGCCCCCAGAGCTACCGAATCTACAACTTGGGGGGCGGGGCTAGCAGTCTGTTTTAACACGCCCTCCAGGTGATTCTGATGCTAAACTATTTTAGGAAAATCAGATTCCATAGAATAACTATATTTAGAATTTCAGCAGATACCCTTAGGCTACAATGGGGAAGAAAATACATTTTTTGGCCCTAGTTTCTGTTCCGATCGTCATTTATTTTTCTGAGTGGCATTGTACTATTTTCAGGTTAATCAGGGTTAAAATAATATAGGTCAAATATTTTCCAGGAATGCTCTGACTCCTCTGAGGGATTAAAACACATCTTTTCCACTGGAAGAGAAACTAGTTGGCTCTTTTTCTTTCCAATACAGCAGGTGTCTGCTATTTATCCACTCTCTTTAATTCAGTTATTATTTTCATATAATGAATAGGGCCTGGGCATGTGTTTTTCTTCAACGGGCAGATGGGAAAGCTGATAATCAGTAACTGAAAGGAAGCAGCCTTTTAGTAGTTTCTCACTCCAGCCCATTCCAAGAAAAAAAAATAATGTTATAAGTAGATAAAAGTAAGAAGTATTATTAACTCTGGGAAGGTAGAAAAGTCAACACAGAGTAGGGGAGAGGCGGTGAGAAAGCATTATTTATACACACATGTCAGTTTCTATGCCTATAGCTGCACCCACTCTCAGAAGTCTCCTAAACAAGAGTCTTCGCTGCACCCCAAAGGTAGACTGTCGTTTCTGTTATTCTTCTGGAACATCTTAAACTCCTTTCACATGCATGTCATACTTGTTAGCTCCTCCCACCATGCCTGGCATATAGGAGCTATTCAAGTAAAGACAAATGAATGAGGGAATGGAGGAAGGATGGGGTATGGGGGTCATAGGGTTGTTTAGAACAAACTTTTAACCAGACCTAGATTCAAATTTCATATTTACCCCTTGTTAGCTGTATGATCCTGGGCAAGTTAATTAATTGCTCTGGGTCCTAGTTTCCTAATCTAGAAAATAATTTAAGTAATAAAGTAACCTACGTCATGGCTTGTTGTGATGCATAAATGACACGGGCCGTGAAAGTGCCCCCTGCGATGCCTGGCACACGGCGAGGCGGTCAATCGTAGTCTCTGCCTTCGTTACGGATTTAGAGCTGGTGGCACGGAACCGCACCATATACTAACACAGCAGGGGAGGCAGAGTTCCTGAAGGCTAGAAAGAGGCAAATCTACAGAGATTCTTTAAAAAGGGAGAAATGACACTCTCACTAATTACATTTAGAACAAAGTAGCTTATTCCATGAGGCCTGATGCAGCACCAGCTTCGGAAACAGTCAACAGGATGATGTGAAGTGAACATTCTCAGGCCTTTAATTGGTCACATCTGCTAGCAGTTTATGGCAATAATGTTCCACGGAATTGGCTTTGGGAAGTGGTTGTTTAGACCTTGTACCTTGAAGTGCTTTACCTGCCTTAGTGTTGCAGTCCCTATATGAGAATAAAGAGATGGGGTGTCCATCTCGTGACTTCAGGTTGATACTGAAAAGTATGGATGCGATGAGCAGCAACTAATTATCCCCTTCCAACTTCCCTCTGCTCCTTTCCCTTCCTCTGCACCCAAATGAGTTTACTAGAATTAATTGTCACCTACTTACTTACATACCTAATGTCACAATCATATTCCATGAGACCAGTGGTTCCCAACTGGGGGCACTTTTGCCTTCTATGGTAAAGTTGGCAATGTCTGGAGACAGTTTTGGTTATTACATCTTGGGAGTTGCTACTGGTGTCTAGTAGGTAAAGGCCTAGGTGCTGTTAAATGTCCTATAATGCATAGGACAGATCTCCCCAAATGTCAGAAATACTGAGGTTTAGATCCCTTGCATTAGTCAGTAGATGTGGCCACATATCCCTTAAAACAGTAAATATTTACTGAGCGTCTACTATGTCCCAGGCACAGAGACAGGGACTGAAGACACAATCAGAACAAAAAGAATTCATGGAATTTATAGTTTAGTGAAGGAAATAGGTATTCATTAAGTAATCACACAGGTACACATAAAATTATAATAGATAAATGTTGTAAGATCACGTGTTCCTATTTTCTAAACAATAAGTAGAAATATAGTTTTTGCAGTTTGCATGCAATTATGAGAATAAATGAAAGCTATCCTATTTAAAGTTATGCAAGTCATCATAAGTATAAGTGTTTTTAAAGTACATTTTGAAAAAGTAATCTTCTATCGTGTATCTTACCTGGTTTGATATTGTTGAATTCTTTTTCAATCATTTCTTCGGAGGTAGACAGCATTAAGTTTCTTACATACAGGATTTTCACTGAAGACATTGTGTCTTCATCAACTTCTACTTCTGGTTCTGCCCAGTCTACTGCAATTGGGTGTCCCCATAATTGAATTCTTCCTGTTGAAAAGAACCACAAGTATGATTAATTAAATAGAAGTCAGGACAAGATTATCTCAGTTCTGACTGATGGCCTTTTAAATTAAACTGACCTTTGAGGTCTTGATCGAACAAGAAGAGCAATGTTAAAAGAGGTGACTGTTGACTTTAAGAGCGATCTCAAGTAAATGTAGGACCTGGCTAGAAGGGAGTTCTGTATGATAAGTGGCTAATTATAATGACTGAGTTATAAAGGGAGCTAGGATGTGGTTTGAAACCGAACAGAAATGAGGTGGCAATGGGCATGTTTGAGTCTTAGAACAGCTCCTACGGGGTTAGGGTAGTCATTGGAGGTGAGAGGGCAAAAGGGGAGAAAGGACAAGAATGGATTTAGGGCCCACGCATCAAATCTGACTTCACAAAACATTAGAAGGGTCACTAGGAAGTATTTCTGCTGCTGTTGGAATCTGTGTGGTCAGGTGCCCCCACTGAGCTGTCCAAAACATGGTGCATGGACACAGTGGGTGGGGTTCAGGCTCCCCTAGGTTGTTCTCTATTTCACTTGGTCAGGGCTCCGATCCACTGTCTTCCCTCCTAGTTCTCTCCTTCAGAACATGCATAACTTGGGAATCTGGAGAAAAACAATTTTTAAATCCAAATTAAGAAGCCAAAGTGCAATGGAAGAGTCTATAATGAGAAACTGAACTCTTCTCAAAAGATTAGTTGTCATCCATGACCACACATATTTTTGTATTCCTGTCCATTGCAGTTTACCGAGTGTCTTGCACTATACTATGTGTTTCCCATCCACTATCTCAGTCCTTTCCCATGGCCACTCTGTGGGGAGGGGAATGCCTTTCTCAATTTTATAGAAGAGGAAATGAGCTTTCAAGAACAGAGCTTGCCCAGACCTGTTTCACTTCCTCACCACTTCTGTTATTTATTACTCAGCCCCTGCCCCCACACACAGCAAGATCCACGTTGAAACGATGAGGGGGGCGTAAGGGTCAGCTCAATTTCAAATCTGATAAAAAATCTCGTTTGTTTTATATTAGTTGTTACGGAACAAGCTATATCCTGGAAATAATAAAAGGCTTCAGGGGACAAAATCAGAAATTCTCTGTATTGGTAAAAGTTTAGTTGTTTAAGTATTACATATGGGAGGCAGTTATTTTCAATCAAAATGCATCTTTTCATTCTTTGGAAAGTAGTCAGTGAAATCAGCTGTGGCATTGACTTCCTAAAACCCCCAAGATAGACTCATCCTAATAAATTAGCTGATCCTAGAGACCATGGCTCTTGTTACCCCAGCCCCAGCTGGCTAGGTACCTTGTTCTTCATTGTTTCCCATAGAATAGCTTTTTTTTTTTTTTTTAGACTTTCATCCTTCATTTCCCCCCTCTTCCCTTTCACTCCTTCCCTTCCTTTGCCTTCCATTCCATGTGCTTTTCTTCTCATCCTATTCCATGCTTTACATAGACTTTGCTGTTTATATTATCCCAGAATCTCTAGGGCTCCCAGGTGACTCTGGTTTCTGTAGCCCAGTGGTTCTCAGCCTTGGCCCCACACGGGAAGAGCTTTAAAAAAATCCTGAAACATGGATTCCACTCAGTGGTATGCTAGGTCCAGTTCCTATCTACTTGCAAGAATAGATGCTATATTTTCAGAATTGTGTGAGCCACTTGATATCACCTTGGTAGTTTGAAATCAGCCATAGTGCAAGTGTCAATACCATGGAAATTGGCAGATCAGGCCTTTTAATTTTCTCCTGGGAGTTGGTTGTTAAAGATTTACCAGCTCATCATTGACCCTTGGGCTCTCCTGCCCACATCTGATATAAGTGGTCTGGGCCTCAGGACTCTTATAAGCACCTCAGTTCATTCTGACATGCAGCCAAAGTTGAGAACCACTGCTTTGCACACTGGCTTTTGCCTTCCCAGACTGGGACCATGGTTAAGTTGCCCATGAGCCTGAAGATTTGCAAAAGGCCAAAATGGACAGATGGGAAAGTATGTATGAGAAGCAGTGACGTCCACAAACATCCCTGTGGAAGTCAGTCCTGCAGAGCAATTTGGGAACATAGGCTTTGAAATCAGACAAGTTCAAATCAGTGATCCTGGCTAGGAAACGTAACCTCTCTAAGTATCAGTTTCCTCATTTGTAAAACTGGAATAATGGAAGTGCTTCCTTATTAGGGTTATTGTGAAGACAACAAAAGAAGCTAATGCATATAAGGGACTTAATTTATCACTTTTAAATGATAATTCAATAATGCATATATATACACATTATATGTATGTGTGTATGTACATATATATTCATGTATGTATAGTTGCCTCAGAATATGTACTCTGAGTGCAATGGTTGGGTATTTTTTTAGAATCTCCCATGTTATTTAGAAGAGAGCAAGGTATGTTGTAGATGCTTAATAAATGTTCCCGTACTGGGTGGTCCCAAATTTGTCCTATTTACCTCCCATGCAGGTGAATGTCCAGTACTGAGAGATTTAGCAGTGGATCAACAAATCTGGCTGCATGACAGAATCATGTGGAAAACTTAAAATATCAGTGCCCCATTCTATAACCCAGAGAAGCAGATTCCATTGATTAGAGGTTGATTTGGGTACTGATCTTGTTTAAAAACCTCCTTGGTATTTCAAATTTGCCGCCCGTGATGGACAATCACTGCTTTAGACTTGTAGTCTCAGGAGCAGTATAATCCTAGGAACTTGCTATACACGCACATAAGCAGTCCCCACACCAGAGCTGCTGAGTCAGGAATGCTGGCGGTGGGCTCAGCCATCTGCCACAGCAGGCCCTCCACATGATTCTGGTGCAGGCTCACCCCGTGAGAACTTTTTCATGAGCATCCTTAGTATTCTTTGATAATCTGAGTAGAATGCAATGATTTTGCTCTGTACATATCTCAGCAAAGATGCATCTTGTCAAACGAGAGCTGCCACTGTTAGCAGGAGATAGGTGGTTGGGGAGCCAAGACATCAGTTTAGACTGCAATTTCCTATGTCTCCGTGGCTGGATCAATTCAGAACGAAAAGCGTCTTGTAGGCCTTGCTTATCATGTTTCTTAAGGACTTCTTTATTCTTTAAACCAGGCTGTCCAGAAATCCTTTGTTGTTGTTGAATGTACAGTGGGGTAATAGGTAGAGTGTCCGAATGGATAATAAGTGTTACTGTCAGGCCTCAGTAGAAAGGAAACCATTTGCTGAGGCCGGCTTACTCACCACTGGATCTCATCTTGTTAATCTGCTGATGAGGCGGCCTGACTAAGATCTAGCTGAATGGAACTCAACACATCTGAGGCCAATGTAAAGGGCCACGGCAAGGGGAGCTGCATGGGTCGCGGTGAATGGCTAGTGGATGGGGTGAGGCAGTGTCCATGCTCCTGGATTCTGGACAGAGACTGCAGAGGGAAAAGTCAGGACCTTGGGTGGAAGCAAAACAAAGTCCTTGAGAATCTCTGAAGCCCGGCTGCTCAGCCCTGCCCAGCCTTGTTCTCTCAATCCAGGTAAAGACAGAAGCTCTTTCTTGGGGGTCAATATGTTGTATTTTTTTTGAAGAGAGGGGAAGCTGAGAAGCTCTGATTCTCTAGGAACACTGGTTTTCTGCCCCCTGAAAACGTTCTCCCATTCTGGACTCTCTTTCACTCTCTTCCTCCTCAACCCCAGAATCATTGTACGTATCTCCCTTTAGAGGCACCAAAGGAAGAGAGCGATTAATGGGGTCTGGAACAGTGGCAGCTGGTTTCTCAAGGACGTGGTGGCTGAGCTGGGGCTTTGAGCATCATTCACCATTTGGGCATCATTAGAGGAGAAGGGGATACAACCTTTAGGAATAAAGGAGACAAAAAATAACATGGTGTTGTCTAGAGCATTGAGGGGTTTGCCGTGATAGAAAGGAGAGTTTTTACTGGGAAAGAGAAGGTAGAAAATGTGGTTGTAAAGGATTAGGGCAGTGAATGGAAGGCCTTGAATGGCAGACTCAGAGGTTTACTCCTTATTTCATATGCAGCAAGGAGTCAGTGAATACTTTTGAACTGATGAGAGAGTGATCTCAACAGATAGAGATCAAATTCCTACTATTTGTAAGAACTTGTTGAAAGGATGACCTGATATTTTGGGAACACTAGTCTCATAGTGATGTTGAGGATGGAGTAGGCAGAGGTTGGGGTGCATCGCAGGGAGAGCAAAACTGCGAGAATAATTAGGCGACTTTGAAAAAAATAATTTCAAGATGTGGTGGTGTATCTGTGTTAGATTATAATAATGTCCTTAGAGCAGGACGGATATGAGGGACTTTTCGATGGCAGAATTGCTAGTGTTGAAGAAGAGAGGAGTTGAAGAGGATAGTAAAATATTAAGCTCAGGTCGCTGAAAGGTGAGAGAGCCATGCAGAGGGTTATTCTATGTAACTGTGAGTCAGCTGACCTGATCGAACAGTAAATGGAAACTTCAACATAAAATTTATGCACCTCTCTAACAGATTTAGCAATTTGGGGGCTATTTATAGAAATATATATATATATATATATATTTTTTTTTTTTTTACTTTAAGCAGCCTTTATGAAAATACAGGGTCTGGCAAGAGTAACGCCTGCTTGAATGTAGTTGGTAGGGTAATAATACATGTGTAATAATTTATAGTTTTAATTTAAACATTTCACCTAAAATTGTCATATGGTGTGCTTGAGTGTGATATTGTTATGTTATAGAATCACATGCTTAAGATTTTGTAATAAAAGCTTTTGTAATAAAAAGGGGAGTTATTGTGCCAGATCCTGTATTATTAAAAAAATCTTTTCCAAGCTCAGAAGCTATTTTCCAATTTTGAAAATATCTAGTGGGCTAATCCTACTATTGGTTTGTTTTGTTGTTAAGAATGTATACAAGGGCAACATAAATATGGGTGTTTTTGTTGTTTTGTTTTCAATTCTGGTGGCTCTCCCATACTGTTTATGAGAAGAGTTGATTCCACTGTGTCCAGTGCATTTTTATGGAAGTCCTCTAACTTTGATATTAATTCATTTTAATACCTTACTTTGTGTAGTTTTAGGAAATATTTTAGAATAAGGACTTTCAACAATTCTTCCTAAGTTGATCTGACTGAGGCAATGTTGATGTGGAGTGTTTTAAATTTAGGAATTGATGATTATTGCCCAAATGGGAACTTCCTTGTGGTTGCAGCACCTAACAAAGGCGCCTTTCAGAGAGTTATTATTTCTGTTCCCTCCAGTTATGCAGAAATTTTTAGACACTGGGGAGTCATGATACAAATATCTCATTTAGTTGTCTTTGGGATAACATATCTTTGGAAGATTTATTATTTCTACAGTATAATAGATAACATACCTTCTTTCTAAGAAATCTGATAAAAAATCTCTATATAAAAATAACTTGATTTATATATGTTTAATTTTAAGGAAACTCTTGAAGTATCCATGATAGGATTGCTGGAGCTTGAAGTTCTAAACTTCTCCAGTGCATGCAAATTAGACTTAGTGCATAGAATGAATATTTTTCAGAGCCTTGTCTGTGAAAACTTTAGGAAACTTAATTTATTCTGAGAGAGATAAGAAGGATAAAGAGTTTAACACAAACATAAGCAAAGACACAATACAACAACAACAACAACAACAAAAACCCAAACAGGACAACAGCAAGCGCTTGTTCCCTTGGCGAATGAGCGTCGCAGCCCGAGGCGGGCAGGGTGGAGTGGGGGAGATTCGGTTTTGAGCCGGGGGTTGCTGACCTGGTAGAAGTTTCCTCCGGGCCATGGCAGCTGCCCGATGACTCTGGTATTCCACGAAGGCAAAGCCTCGGTTTTTGGTTTTATCTGCAGCACTTGGGTAGACAATGACGTCGACAACTCCTTCGGTTACCTTCTTCATCTCTGACAAGATCTCTTCTCTCTTTTTGGTTTTTGGAATTCCCCCAACAAACAATCGGCAGTTATCCACACTGGCACACACCCCTAGGAGACGCCCATTTCTGCAAAAAGAGCCGAGCTTTGATTGGTGAGAATCCACATGTGATGAAGATTTAAAACAGAAGCTGAAGCATAGCATGGCCCTGCACATGAAATGGCCTGTAGACGTGGGGTGTTTGGTCTTTATAGTGGTTAAACTATTTTTGGAAAGCAGTGGCTACTTTTGAGAAACTGGAAAATGTCAACATTTGCTCTATATTTTTAAAGGAAAAAAAAGGTATTTGAAGCTGAGTAGCATCTGCTGTCTTTAGAGTAGATGTAGATTCATCAGCTGTCAATTCTCACCCCTCCCTAAAATAGCCCCAGGGCTAATGCCGTTATACTGGCTATACCAGCCCACGTTACTAGGTATTTGAGTTTATGATCACTGGTGCTCCTTTTCTTTTCCGTCCACTTTGGGAAGCTATTCAGACATAATTGCTATTAAAAATAGTCTCTTATACTTGAACAGATTTTTATGTATTATCTTATTTGGCCACCATAGGGTGCCTGTAGATAGGAGGAGGTATTAATTTCTATTATACCCATGAAGAACTTGGGACTCCAAGAAATTAAATGTTTTGCTGGATTCTCAGTTCAGTTTCTGTTTCTTCCACTGAACAGTGAAATAGTGTTGCTTAATAGTGAGTCGAAGTACACCTTCCTTGGCAGAGTGTAGATTGATTAAACTTTTCTGGGAAACATTTGACAGAATATATCAGAAGTCCCAAGTGTGCATAACCTTTGACCAAATAATGCCCTTTAATGAAAGTGACCTTAAGAAAGAGGAGCACCAAGTATTATGTACAAGGATATTCACTGTTGTTATTTAAAATAGCCTGCCTCCAAATAGGAAGTAAGCAAAATATTCCAACATATGGGGCTAGTTTAATGCACCTCAGCTGAAATGTTACTGACTTGGGGCTGGATGTTTCCTCACTGTGTTTAGTATATTTGTCACCCTCGTTCTTGCCCACTAAATGCCCATAGCTACTCATTAGGTCATTGAAAAATAACTCCTCACTTTTCTAAATGTTCCCTATGGTGGGCACTATGCTGCTGGCTGAGAATCACTAGTTAACAAAAGACAGGCATTCATAGTATAGTATGTCTCACAGTCATTGAACGTAGTAACATAGAAGCATATTTACTGGTTTAAGAAAGAACAATTCGCTATATGCTGCTGTGTTAAAGAAAGAAAAAGAAAGGCCCCCAAATAAGTATGCGAGGAGGCCATTTTGATTAAAAGTATATAGAAAATCTAGAAAGAAAAACAATGACAGTTAACATAGTGACTATCTTTGGCCAATGGGGTTATGGAGGAATGGTTTAACTTTTATTACTTAATAGTTTTGGGTTTTGTGTATGTGTGTGTGTGAATTAGGCTGTGTGATTTTTATAATAACATGAAGTTATTAAAAATGGCTAAAGTCCCCTTAATGGAAACCACATGTTTGCCATGATTGAAAATGCTCATCCAGGTAAGTGGGAGACTGCTGAGTGGCTTTCAGATGTGTGGCAGGGATTCTGACCAGGGCTGGGCCACTGTCCTAGCTGCCTTCTATGCTTTCCGGGAGAACCAAGGACCATATCAGATCTGTGACAGGTCCATCTTCGTCACTCTAGGAATGTGGGGTTTTTTTGTTTTTTTTTTTGAGAGGGAAAGGAAAGGTTGATAAAGTACTCTTTTTTTTTTTTTAAACTTCACTTAATAAACACTCTATTCCTAGATATTATTTATTGAGACATTATTATTTTTGATAGTTAGGAGATGGCCAGGTATCAGTTACCAGTAGGGGGAGCCTAGAGGCTCTACACTGTTTTTATATTTGTGTGGTTTGTTAGGCACCTTTCCCAGAAGTGCTTGGAGAAGAAAGGCCATCTCTGAAAAGCTGAGGGCACGACTTTAATGTCTTCTGAAGCCAGGCATTTAGATGATGCTCAGTGAATATTTTATGATGAGGAGGATGCTCGGACAATTGTGGGTCTTTTCTGGATAAGAACCTTATCTATCCTCTGGTAAAAGCAAATCAAAAGTTATCTTCTCTACAAGAAAGGTTGTCTCTCCTGCAGCTTCCACTGACCTAAGGCAGAGTGGAAGTTGGTGAGGTTGGCACTGGGGTGTCTATTCTGCTATTTCACATTCCATTTATCCTATTCTGTCACCTTGCAACTGACATCCAACCTGAACTTTGACTGGAGCTTTTGCCATCAATTTCATCTAAATGCTATGTCATATTTCTCCTCTTCCTTCTCTCCCTCCTCCTTCATTACCATTACCATCGCTATCAGCAAACATTTATGGAGCATCTGATATCAGCTTTACATGTATTATCTAGTTCATTTTTTATAACACTCTATGACATAGGTATACTTTTAATTTCTGTTTTACAGATAAAGATGCTAAAATTCACAGAGAATACTGTTCCTTATCAGTGACCATAGTGGATTGATTATATAGTAGTCCTTCCTTATCTGTGGTTTTACTTTGCATAATTTCAGTTACCTGCAGTTAATGACAGTCTGAAAATATTAATGGAAAATTTCAGAAATCAACAATTAATGAATTTTAGGTTGCATACCATTCTGAATAGGGTGGTGAAATCTCACGATGATCGCCTGAATGCGGTCACCCCTTTGTCCAGCATACCCACACTGTATGTGCAACTTGCCCGTTGGTAAATTAATAGCAGTCTGAGTCAGAAAAACTGTCCTGTTAGCGATTTGTGTTCAAGTAACCCATGTTTTACTTAATGAACCCAAAGCCATTCACATAAATATTATTATAGTATATTGTTATAATTGTTTGACTTTATTATTATTGTTATTACTCTCTTATTGTGCTTAATTTGTAAATTTAGTTATGTATGTGTAGGAAAAAATAGTGTGTATAGGGTTTAGTACTATCCATGATTTCTGGCATCCATTAGGGCCTTGGACTGTATCCTCCACAAATAAGCATGGGGTTTATTGTGTTCATTACTTATACCTTGTCTATTGACAGACCCCAGTGGGTAACTGTGTGTTAAGTAGATACAGCTTAACTTGCTGATTCCCTACATAGCCAAGTCTATATCCACTCAGCTTAAAAACCATTTTGAGAATAACCCTTACTGTTAGGATGTCCAGGTTCCATGAAATGCCAACAAATGGAGTATCTTCCCAATCCCTGGAACCATATAACAGTAATATTTAATTTCTGTAACCCTTTGCAAAACACTTTACTATCCAGATGGTCCCGACTTATGATGCTTCAACTTACAATATTTTGACTTTACAATGGTGGACAAACCATATTCATTCAGTAGAAAGTGGCTGGGCTAAACTATGGTGTTCAGTAGATTAAATGCTTTTTCAACAAGGTATGATGGGTTTATTGGGACATAACCCCATCGTAAGTTGAAGAGCATCTATATATTTCACATGGATGCTCAGAAAACATAGGTACTAAAACATAGGTGCTAAAACTGATGCTAAAAGAAGTCCAAGGATTTGTCTATAGGAACCCACACTAGACTGCGGAGCTCTTGATTCCTACTCCAAACCATCCTCCATGTACCAGGCAGAGCTCTTTTGGATCCATGGAGACATGTGTTAGAGGAGAGCTTCCTTTATATTTTCTCCAAGACTCGGTTCCAGAATCCAACCTTGGGACTGAATGGCTAGGCTACTAGTGGTTGCCAAATTGAATCAATCTTTTGGTGGCCAAGGGGTTTAAGAAAAAATGACCTAGCAGCTGATTGGATAACAAAATTATAAGGATAATCGTGATGTATTTTGGGCCTCTGGAAGGTGAGACAAAAATAATGGTAGGAAACCCACTCTCTCTGATTCAGCAATTTTAAGATTCCATCAACATTAAGGTATCTCTCTATTTCAGAAAGGAAAATATATGTGGAAAGCTGTGTCTTAGAATTGATGATATATACTAATATATGAAAGTACTATTGATAATTTATTGACCTAGTAGCCCAGTGTTAGAAACACTTAAAAAATCTCTATGGTATCCCCACAATAAAATTTATGAAATAAGTATTAATATCTCCACTTTATAGGTGAGCAACCTGAGGCTCAGCGAGGGTAAGTTACTGGGCACTCCAGGGAAGCCTGTCTGAGGCCAAAGCTGTGGCCTTCCAGCTGCTGCCCTAAGCTTCCTTCCTGCTCGCCCAGGGCTTCCTTTGAGAAAGGATTTATGTCAGCGCCCTCTCCCAGTGAAGGTTTTTGAACTCAAAGAGTTCATGAGGTTAGCCCTGTGACGAGTTTATGGAAACCAGGTATTGATTGTACAGGGTCGATTATGGCCTGGCACCCTCCCCTAGTCCCATGGTTTGAAATGTTATCTGTATTTGGCTGACCTCCAAATTTATATTCCAGCCATGGCCTCTCTTCTGGCTCTGATATCACACAATCGCGTCTTCACCATCTCCACCAGGATGTGTAATGCGCATTGCAAATGTAAGTCATCCCAGAGAGAGCTCTTCCTGTTTCCTGCTTTTCTCCCCGTTTCTTGTCAATGACACTGTCACATCCACAGATACATGGACCAACATCCTAGGCTTCCTCCTTGAACTCTAAGTCACTCACACTCTCAACCCAGTGTTTAGTCAGTCTAATCTAGTCAATGTATCCCAGACCGGACCCTTTTCACCACCTCCATTACTGACCCGCTTGTGCAACCACCGCCATGTCTTGTTTAGATCAACACCACTGCAGTGGCCTTCTCACTGGCTTCCCAATTTGAGTCCTTACCCTGCTGTGCTCCATCCTTCATCAACAGCCAGAGTAATATTTTAAAAAGCATAAATCTCATTAAAAGCCTTCCATGATTTCCTCTTTTCATTAGAATAAAAATCAAATTCTTAAACATGGCGTAGAAGGCTCTCCAGCCGTATTGACTTCCGCCCTTCTCTCTTCACTCGGTTCTCCCATGCTGGCTTTCCTTCTGTCCTTCTATCGCTTCGCCCTTGTTCTCATTTTGGAATCTCTGTACTTGCTGTTCTTTCTCTAGACTAATCTGTCTTCAGGTATGATTGTCATGGATGATTCTTTTCATTGAAGTCTCAGGTGACATTTTACTTTCCCAGAGAATATTTTCTCATATACATCAGTGTGACTATCCCCCTCCTCCCACAACTTTATCCTATTTCCTGGTGTTATTTTTTCATACTCTTATAAATAGTCTCATACATTTGTTTTCTCACTATGAGTATAGGGAATTACACCTTGATATATTTCCAGTATTTTAAGCTATACCCAGCATATATTTGTGAAATGAATAAATTAATAAATGTTTCTTTAAACATTTCACAGAACTTAGTTTAGCACCTAACATAGTGTTGGTATTAAACAAATATTTCATTAAACTGGTTTTTCCCAAATATTTTATTAAACTGGTTCTTTTCCCAAGGGAAAGAACTAACCTTTTTTATTTCTGGTTTTGCTATCTTTGCATATACTATATTAGACAAACGATATAGAAACAGAGACAGGTGCATTGTCTGATTCACTTTTTATCTAGAAGAGGTGGATCTTACCTAATTTCATAATTATTAAGTTGCTTGATTGCATTCTTGGCTTCCTGTTTATTTGAGAATGTTACAAAGGCATATCCTCTATTGTTTCCATTAAAATCCATCATCATTCTCATTTCATAAATTTTACCAATCTGTAAGTAATAGAAAAAGAGAAATTCATATTTCTGCCTTTGTACTTCCAAATCAACACACACATGCACACATGCACATAGAATGTTTTCTGAAGTCTGTCACTGCCATATTTGGCATTTGCATCCCAGGTGGAATGGTTTGCATAGTTTCATGCTGGGTTCAGACCCATTGTCTGACTCTTGCGCAAAGTCAAGTTAAAAAAAATTTGTACAAATGACATTTCAGCCTGAGTTAACAGAACATGTTTTTGACAGAGTAAGGCTAATGACCTTTCACCACACAACTATCTGGGGATTTATATAATGTCTTAGGGACATGAAAACACATTTATCATCAGAAGTACAATTTCCTGATAGATTTGTCCTTTTCCTTTCCACGGGCCTCTGGAGTCTCCTTAGCTATATCTTTATTTGGTAATTCTCTACCACTGATATTTAAAAGAAAAACCAGGAACACTAATTTGGAACCTTGCTAAACCTTCTTAGCTGTCTTTTTTCCTACCATAATATCAAAAGGAATACAGAAGATGCGTCTCAGAGGAGGATCTGGGAGCCTGTTATTTTCACAATCTGTGGGCTGAAAGTAAATGCTGGTCTTAATAGGACTGACCCAGGGCCAGGACCTCTGCCACAGAAGGGTTCTACTCACTAACCTCTAGCTGTAGCTACTCTGCTTTACCCATATACTACTCCATCCTGATACTCCAAATGTTCTCCAGAAATACCGGCTCAGCCATTCTTCATTACTGGCTGCTCTAACAAGGATGACCCAAATAGATATGAGGGGCGTATGCAGTGAGAAGAGGCACCAGTAAGCCTATGCTATTACCACACTGGGTGGTTACCCTTCATCTCAGTCTCATCCCAACACACCCCACTCAAATGTACACTGTGAAGGACACCAATTTTTTCTAGCCTCATTAGGAGCGAGTTCAAGAATATTACACATCTGTGTTTCAGGTGTTTCTTGGTGCACATTTTCAGATTCACTCGAAGATTCTTACAGGATTAAGTCCTCATAATTTTCCCACATGCCAAGTGGGATTGTATGTATAAAATTAGGAGCAGTTCTGAATCTGAATTGAGTTACACACACACACACACACACACACACACACAAATGATTTTGGCATTTAGAAAAAGAAATATCTAAACTCTCATTTTTGCTAAATTTTTGAAGAATGTGGTTGTATAAACACCACTTGGTAGATTATTGAAAACAACTGTTGATTTCGTATTCTGCCTTTAATTTGGGGTTTAGTAACAAAATAGCATTTGGAATTAAAACTGAGGGAGTTTCTAACTTAGTGATTATATAATTACTTTGAGAATCTTCATAATTATATAATTACTTTTGTTGATACATTAGGGCAGAAAAGAAATTCAAACTTGTGGAAAAAAATTTCACTCTGAATGAATATATATAGACACATGTTTGAGCTATGACAAATCTACATATTCTTATTAGGTAACAATGTTGCACACACATTAGAATGCCGAGTTGGAGCCATATCTCTTTTTAGATAGGTGGTTGTTGTGTATATTGATAGACACATTCAGTTTGTGGTGAGATGGGATGCCAGTGGGGACCGGGATTGAGATACAGATTTGAAAGTCGTCAGCAATGATGTCAGCAACAGGCTGCAGAGCTGAGACCATCTCACTAACGGGAAGGAAGGTTTTCACTGCTGGAGGAATAGCAAGCGGAAGAGAAGCCATCAAGTGACAAGGAAAAATGAGCACGTAAGCAAAGCGAAGAGAATACTATTTTTACCTTGAAAGATAAGAAACTTTAAATTTGGACTCACTTTTTCACATAATGGTATAAGTTCATCCTCAAAAAGGTCTCGGGGAAGTTTTCCAATAAAAATTTCACAGCCCCTTTCTGGGGGTGCAGCATCCCAGCCAGGGGGAGGACCACCGTATTTTCTTTGCCCATTTTCCTGCAAATCCAGGGTAGGTTTTATGAGGGGGAAAAGAAAACAAGAGATCTTTAGCTCCAGTTTCTCAATTATTTTTCAGAATTATTTCACAGTCAGAAACATATTTGTCATTGGCAAATAACCGTTTTTTATTTGTTATACTTTTGTATGGTCTGAGGATAAAAAACATAAAAGTCTCTTTTGTATGGATTTTAATATCACGTTCTATGCTTCAGTGACTTGCTTGAGATGAGCATGTGAAAACTTATAAAATACTGAAAAAATATAAGGGGTGATTATTATTTTTCTGGTTGTCATTCACACTCACTGAAGCCTGATCATCGAAGGATCTGCCTATAATTTGGATGCACTCTGAAGGCTGTGTGGTGTGGTGGTTACTGTCCTGGAGCTGGACTCCTTGGCTCTGTGACTCTCTAGCTGTGGGACCTTGGACAAATGACTGCTCAGAACCTTAGTTTTCTCATATGCATAGTGAGGACAATATCAGCTTTTGATTAAAGGAGATCATGTATCAGATATGCATGGCACACAGTTCTTGACATGTGATATATATTTATTGGTGATTAATTCTCTTCTTGCCCTCCTGAATTTAGGTTGTTTCATATGTCAAGTAAGGCAACACAAGACTCAATAGAAACATTGTGAAGACTTCCATTGGAAGGAGTGGCTGGTTAATTTGAGGGGTAGCTAGTCAGGGACTTAAATCTATTTTCAAAGCTGACAAAAAGGTGAGAGGTGTTTACTAATGTTGGATGTCTTGGCACGTAAGAATGATGTTCTCTGTCTAAAGAAAATTAGCTTCTCTTTTTTCCCTTTGTCCTAACAAATTCTTGGTTAATTTAGTGTCCTCTTTTTTGAGGAGAACATTAGTGTTGGTGCTTGTCTGCAATGCCAAGTATATTTTCTAGATGTTAAAGAACTTGTGGTAACTCAGGGACCCCAAAGTGAAATGTAGGCCTAATCCACCACTGTTAATCTGCTGGGGAATTGTAAATTTACGTTCCACTAGGCATAACCAGGGCTCTTTGTCATTGTACCTTTGTGATTTTTGGAGAAAGGAAACTATAAGGGACCAAATATCAATATGCATTGCTAATTTCTACAATTAACACTTTAAAAAGTTTTATACTATAAAATGACACATGCTGAAAAAAACATAGTAATATATGAGGTAAAAAGAAAATTTCCCAAATTTACCGCACTAACCATCTGTAGAAGTAGATACTGTTAAAAATTTCACTGTCTTTTCAAATACATTTTTATGTTTTTATGTGTATTTTAAAAAGACATTTAGTTGTTTAAAACATTGTTTTGTACAATTGTTGTTGGTTAAAATAAAAGTAAATCAGCTTCTAGTTGCACTGATAAATCTTTATATATACCAACTTGAGTCTTTTTTAATTATTTTATATGTTAGTACAAAGGCTTTTTGGATTACAGTGTTCAAACAATGTCTGTGGTTGTGATCACTTTTTTAATCCTGATGATTGATATTATGTTGCTTTAAATTAAATAAAAAGTTAGATGAGTCTTTTGCCTTGCCTTGATTACTTTTTGCTTTAAGTGACTGCATGTTTTTCATTTTTACTAAATATTTATATATTTGCCTCAAGACTTTCTGAATTTTTTTCTTCCCCTATATTCTTGCAAGGATTATCTAGTAGCAAAAAATTGTTATTATGGAGAAATCTGAGAAATAAAATGTTTCATATTTTTACTTTAAAAAGTTAGGAACCCAGTGAGCTATATCTCAACTAAGAATTCCCTGAAAAGTATAAGTCACATACTTTCAGAGATGTATTAAAGACTTTACTTACTTACCTTCTAACAATTGCCTACATATCCCTTACTGCCACACATTACCTAATCCTCAGACATCAACCTGAGTTATAGACTGTTGCCATCCCCATTTTCCATAAGACAGAAGCCCAGAGAGACTGAAATATATAATTTGCTGAGTCACCTGGTTGGGACCTGGAGCCAGGCAGTCTGGTGTCAGCGTCCCTCAGCTACGTTTTGTTGCCTTGTTATATGGAAGCCTAATCCTTGTAACGGATCTACACACTAAATACTTATGAAAAAAGTTTATCATGCCATTTAATTGCCAACTCTCTGTTGCATTTAAAGTCCTGTTTTAATTTCCAGTCATTTTATTACACAATTTTTTGGGGGGAGGAGGAGAACATCTCATATCTGTTCCTTACAGAGAGCCATACATCTGTTGCCAAATTAAAGCCTGCCTCCTTGGGTCAACTCAAACCATTTGGTCGATTGTGATCCCTCTGAAGCCATTTGTGTATATTTTAAATGTCTAGGCACATACTATTCCGTAGATTATTGGAAAAAAAGCTTAGTATGAATATGGTAGTATTTTTACTCTTCAGATTGAAGAAAGCAAATTTATATCCCATAGTAGTAAAGTGGCTATTCTAGAATTTCTGATTCAACAAACTTCATCTGTTAGTTTGAAAATAAGTAGGCAATGAGCATATTGACTTTTGAAAATTTTTCCTTCAACTTTCTTTCTTGCGTAATTGCTAAAAATGTCACCAAACTATTTTGTGCAAACCATTCATATGTACAGGAGAATTCTCCTGCTTATGAGCCAAAATGATTGGTCAGGAAATCATATTCATGGTCTTTTCGTGGTTTCTAGAAACACTTAAAATAAATTCTCCAAGAATATCTTCTGGGATCACAAAGAGTCTGACTGGTTCAGAGATGCCACAGAGTTCATCCACCAGGCCGGGAATGCACCAGCGGTGGAGCCGTAAGGCAGGCACGGGGCATTACTCATGGGGTCAGAATAGCTGTCCATTACTGGGAAAGGACAGTTGGGAGCTAGATTGCTGGTATTTTAGGCACTATTTTTTATAGTTGAGTTTAAAATAAAGCCCAGTTATAACTGCCCTTTCCCCTCCTGGCTGATGTCCTTCCCATGGAATGCAATCCCCCCAGTAGCACAAATATAGTAATAGTTCAGAGAGAAAGAATATAGGACTTTTTTTTTCCATGAGAGAATGTTCATTCAACTCTGGGAATTTTTATTTTCCCCATGAAATCTTGGAAACCATTCACTCTCTCTTGTCACATAGGAAGAGGTGACAATTTTCAACTATATAAATTAAAAATTGAAGATCTAATTGTAACTATAAATCCAGTGGCTTTAACTTAAATTTTGGCTACCAAGCCTATTCAGTAACTCTGGTTATACGTAAAGAGCATTTGGAAGTTCCTTCTGTCATGGATATTTTAAACCTTTCATGATGAAAACATAGAGTCTTTAGGGGATTATGTATACCATCTTCTTGACCTTGAATAAAACCACACAACATTTAACAAATGATTCTAGGCAATAAATCTTAGCTTGAAAGTCATACAGACTGAGTTCATTTTAGCCACCTGGCATCTGAACTTTTTATACATCTGGGGAATCTGTGCAAAGCAGCCTTCTCCTACAGGATTTTAAAAGGTTAGATACTTGCTTTTCCAGCTTCCCTTGCAGCTGGGACAATCATAGTTATAATAAACAGCAATTGAGTTTGGGTGCAGAATTGTAACTGGGCAAACTTTAGATCTGAGCATTGGATAATGGTTGATGCATTTTCATATCGTTCCAGATTTGTGAAATGGCTTTGGAGTTCATTTCTAAAAGCTTACCCTTGAGTCTGGTCCTCCAAATCAAAAGTTTCTGTGACCCACTATTCTTGTAATAAACTTTTTTTCTTTTTAATCAACAAAAATTAGCTTCTACTACACACACATAATAGTAACAGCAGCTGCAAGAAAAAAAAATCCTGCTAAAACAAGAGCTAACCTTGACAAAGATGGGCACTGTGCTAAGTGCTTTACCTGTATTAACTCATTTAATCTTCTCAATAAAACTGTGTGAATGATACTACTTACTTTTGATTTATAGAGGACTCCAAGACACAGAAATGTGTCCAGATTTGTATAAGCAGTAAGTGACAAAAACAGTTTTTTTGCATCCTAACTCCATGTTTGCAGTCATGACATTATTCTTCTCTTGTTTTTAGTGGGTTGTCCAAAAACTTTGTTTAGTTTTTTCCATACCATAGCTCCAGTAGTGCTTAGCTGTCTTTAACTTCATTCGAAACAATTTTGTTAGATTGTATTGTGACAGCTGTCATATCAGTGTGCATTTAAAAAACACTTATCAAAATTAGTGAATTTTTGCACAGCCATTTTAATATTGAAGATGGAAGAATATGCAACATCTTTGGTGTATAGTTTTATTATTTCATGAAAGGTAACAATGCAACTGGAATGCAAAAAAAGATTTGTGCAGTGTATGGAGAAGGTGCCGTGACTGATGGAATGTGTCAAAAGTGGTTTGCGAAGTTTCTTGGTAATATTGATATTTTGGCCAAATAATTCTTTACTGTGGGGCTGTTGTATGCACTGGAAGATGTTACGCAGCACCCCTGGCCTCTACCCACTAGAAGCCAATACTGAGAGAGAGCTGACGTACTCCAAATATCTAAATCAATAAAGTTATTGGTGAAAATGAAAAATGTGTCTTTTATTTTTGGGAAAACAATGTAACGGACTTTTTGGCCAACCCAAATATTGACCCAATATGCTTATTGTACAGATGAAGAAATTGAGTCCTGAGAAATTAATGTGAGTTGTCTGAAGTCGCACTGGTTTAATTTATTGCAGACAACGCTAGAACAAAAGTGCTGTGATTCTTGATCTGGTAAACTGCATGCTCTACATACTGTTCAAAGGTCAGAGCGACTTTTCTTCTCACGCTTACCGGTCTTGCAATTCTGCCTGGTATGTGTTACACTCACTTTCTTGTTCTACTTCACCTCGTGTGGAGGCCACATGGTTTGTTGTTGTTTCCCATAACTGAGCCCATTCATAAACTGGAAGGATAGTCATCCTGGGTTTCTCTTTTTGTTTTTTGCCGTAATTAGTAATTTCAATTCCTTTATTGGTTCTTTGGAAATCTTGTATTCTAAATCTGTAATCAT